CCCCAAAACCCCAAAACCCCAAAACCCCTTTTCGAAGAAATACTCTTGAAACTTTATAAAATTTATAACAATATGAAGAGTCTCAGCTGTAACTTATGCGATAGTAAGATCTCTCCTTTTTGTCTGAACCCACAAGATGTAATGTGGATTTGAGAGAATGAACAATGTCTGTTTCCCTTCAATGAGGAAGCAGCAACTGTAAAAGAGGTATGTAGTTCGAAGCCAAAATATTCACCCGCTTCTCTTTTTAAACAAGTTCATCTAGTTCAGGAGGGTAAGATAAGGTCAAAAATGACCCATAACCCAAAGGATCAAGGAGCAACTTGTGTTACTGTCCAAGAGGACATTATTGAACAACACACAAAACTTAGTGAGTTTCTAACCCATTATCAACAGATTGAGAGCGGATTGATGCCTTTCTCAGATTGTCATATTTTAGATAATGTTGATAATGAAGACAGTTTCGACCATCTTTTCTTTCAAAAAGACGAAGAAAATAGTGACGAGTCCGATGATATTCCGATGGAATATGATCCTATTTTCAAGGTTGAAAAAGTATGTCCTCCTCTCAGTTCAGATCTTTACTCCTTCACAGATTTAGATATAACTGAAGAGCAAGTTTCATCATGCATCAGTCATGACCTTAACTCCTCAGATATTGAGATGGATGTTGAAATCTCAGAAGTGCAAAGCCCATTGTCCATTAATGAGCTGGAGAAACCTTCAAACTCCACTGTTAATGGAAATGTTACTGAGAGTGTAGTCCCAACCCTCAGTTGCACCCATTCGTTAATTGGGTAAGCTCTTTATCACTTCAATATTTAAATGCATCAACTAAGTAATTTCCTTTAGATGTCGTCAGGTCATGGCTGTCTCACTTTGGATTGCTACTACGATTTTCATGGGTGCTTCCTTCCTCCAACTTCTCTTCATTGGTAAGGCTGAAATTATTACTAGATCGTTTCAGTCAGAAGCTGGAGAGAGGGGTTTTGGGGTTTTGGGGTTTTGGGGTTTTGGGGTTTTGGGGTTTTGGGG